TTCCTGAAATATAGATATAAGTTGAAAACTCATGTTTTTCAATCAGGAGTTATTCCTCCAAATTTTCATTGGTATGCTATTTTTATGTTAACAAAAGGTATAATCTGGTGGTAATTTTGTTTCTAAAATGTTTTCTTGTTCATGAGGCATGCTAGTCTTGCAACAAATACTTGATATGTGGTAGGTGTACAAAAGCGTGCATATACGACTCAAAGTATTGGCAATGGATTTTTTTTTCCTCCAGTAATATATCCTTTGCTTGAGTTGTGCCAATGTTTCTTCTGAAAGATTTTTATGTTATACTCTTAATGTGACCTGTCAAATTTCAGCATTTAATTAACCTTGCTACAGCGGGCTTGCTCGTTTGTTCTTATACTTCTATTTGATGTAAATATCTTAAGTTGCAAAGAAGGGGCATGAGTGAAGCAGCAGTAGCTTCTTATTGCTGATTGTTTGCTGAATGCCATAGTTGCATGTCCTTGCCATAGTGTATTAGCTTGTATATTTCACATTGGTTCCAGTTGTGTAAGTAGATTTCTTCTTCTTTTTTTTGGTTGGCTAAAAGGGTTAACCCAATTGAATTTTGCCTTTCTGGGCTCTACACTGATACTCATTTCTAAGGAACAATCAGGATTCTAATGATAATGACCTCTAAATTTGTTTCACATAGGTCATTACAGAGGGCACTTGACAGAAAACTTTATCTTCTTCTTTATGGAAAAGCATATGGCTCTCCTAGTGACAAGCCTGTCTGGCATTTCCCTGAAAAAGTTTATGAATCTGAAGAAACATTGCGGAAGGTGAATATTGCTGTGTGATTATTCATTTCCTCCTCTCCCTGTTTTATCCTTTTCTCAATAAATTCCAAATCTTTGCAGTGTGCAGAATCTGCATTACAGTCTGTCTTAGGTGAACTTTCTCACACATATTTTGTTGGCAATGCTCCTATGGGTCATATGGTCATACAGCCAGCAGATGATGCACAAGAGTCTGGCTACAAGGTATGTTTCTGGAATTAAACCTGCAGTAAGTATGGATGACAAATATGTTGTGCCCAAAATGTAGCATGCCATTATTTAATTCTTCTTTTCTTTAAGATGGTGGAAGTTCATCTGGAAAACAGAATGGAAAAAATAAAGGCCATGGAAGATTTTTTTCACTTAACTTTTATCTTGTACTATCATTAGTTAATTGAATATAGAGAACGAAAAATTAATTTTGACACTAATTGTTAAAAAAAGATCGACTTTCTTAATGTAGCTGAATTAAGATACAGTCATCTTAGTTACATCAAAATACACAGTTATTTGCAAATATAGACGGAACTTTGATTTTTAAAATATCAAACTAGGAGATATACTGCCTGATATCAGTGTTAAAGATAAATTCTAAGACATTTTGCTGTTAATTTTTTAACTATCTATATGTGCATCAATGGAATGTACTCTTGCCCTGGATAAGAGATTTCAAGAAACAAGTCAAGGTAGGATTGTTGGAATGTGAATGCAGTAGAGAGTATGCTTTTCATGTTTAATAAATAATTTATGCTTTTTTAAAATAAAGAATCGTCATTTCTCACTGTATATATCTCAAATAGTGCAAATTTTGTGCATCAAGCAGTAGCTTTTCCTTTTAATAATGAAAAAAACACACACCTAAGGATATCACATACCACTATGAGTGTTCCTTTGCCACTTTTAGCAAACATGTAAATCTGCCTACATGTGATTTGCTGATGGTAGGCGGAGATAATTTATATAGTGGTATGATATTTTGCTTCATTTAAATTGCTGATTAATAATTGCCCATGTTATTTGCTCGCAACTTTTTTTTTCCAGCGATTCTTTTTCAAGTCCCAGGTGACTGCAACGAACAAATTTGAAATTGGAAAGTGTGAAGACTTTGTTTGGGTGACGAAGGATGAACTACTGGGTTATTTTCCTGAGCAAACTGAGTATCTCAACAAGATGATCATCAGCTGATTTGGAAGACAGTGAGGTCCAAATGCACTTTGTTTCAGAACCCGGATGGATTGCTTATGATTCTGTTTTGCATTCAACACTTGCCATTCACTTAGCAGAAGGAATTTTGATATCCCTCAGGAATGGTCACTTGATTTTTAGCATAGGCTGCTCAATTCCCGTGAATTCCCGTCCAGTGTTCCAAATTTTGGTGTTTTTCTGGGATTTTAAATGCCATCTATTCTAAATAAATTATCAATATCCATGTGCCCATTACTTTTATATGATGATGATGATGCCCTGCTCTTCTGCAATAAGATTTCTCCGCGTCATCTATACATGGTAGTTCACTTTCAACGAGTAATTATCTCTTTGTGGAGAACACCTTCATAAACGTTTATTCTTTGCATGACTGTTAGTTTTATCAGTCATTAAGTGGAATTATACTGTTTTCCGGCCGAACTGATTAATTCTCATAGTACCAGTAAGAAAATTGGCGAAGTCCTTGCAGGTGAACAAATCAGGACGGACTCGTTGCAGGGGTGTGTGTGGGTGTGCCTTCTTCTTCTTGGATTCGGACTGATTAAGAGTGTTACGCGTGTAAAATCGGGGCCTCCGAAGCTTAGGAGTCAAATATATATCTCTTTGTTTAATGGGCTGAGGCTGCTGAGCCATTATTTGTTGTCTTTTCTTTTCTTTCCCTTTTCAGGTCTTCGAATTTTTTATTGGTCTGTACTTTTTTTTCAATTTAACCCTTTAAAATTATATTAATATGATGTTAAGTGTTGACATCTTTTCCGGATTGGTTTCTCTCACGTACTTGATGCGTTGTACTTTAAATCAATAACCAATTTTATGAAATATAGTTTTAGCTTATTGTTAAAAAACAAATTGAGATATAAGGGATCAAAATTAACATAAATGAAGAAACATAGCATTTTTCATAAAAGGTTCCCTCAACTCTCATTTGATTCTTTAAAATTTATTTATTTTATTTGGTTCTTGGTTCTTTTATATTATTATAATTTGATCTAAAATTTTACTATTTTTCATGTTTTTGTCTTTTAAGGCTAAGAGAAAATAAAGAAAGTTATCAAAATAGTGGAGGAGTGAAAGAGATCTTAGGTGACAAAATTTCAACAACTCCCATTTGGTGTCTATGAATTTTTTTTAGAAAAGAACTCAATGAAAGTGGTTTCAAACTTTAATTATGCTGGAAAATATAGATCAAAAATATTTTTGATCTGATTTTGAGTATTCAATTTATTACAATATGTTTTGTGGTTGGAAATGGGGTTTTTAGAGATTCATATGAATTTTTTTTTCCCATGTCTTTTGATGAAAAAGGGTTGAAATTTGGGTCTTTTGGATCCAAAAACTTGAATTCCCTATTTCCTGTCATTGAAGGCACTTTCGGTGGCCGCCAATGGTTGCAAGCAAACGTGTTATCCATCATCTTAAAAAAAACTAATCTTAGT